GTGTGATATCTCATTAAAACTCATAATTTAGTTATATCACGAACTAAGGAAATAAAATATGTTTATTCTCTAATACTCTGGATGTTTTACGTCTACCCTTAAGAATAATTTCACATGGTAACTGATTGCTGTAGCCACATTTTTTATAGCAAGGGTGATTAAGAAAAACTTCACAAAATTATTTTAGAGTTTTGGGACCTGTAGGAAGATGGGATATGCACTTATCAGACCTCCAGAAACCACAGGTATGTGAAATCTCTTTTCACTGTATCGGGCAGGGTTTAGGAAATACACTTCCTTTATTAGCATGACAATCAATTAGAGGAAAATAACAACTACACTGCATGCTCCTAAAATGGAGCTAATGGAGAGAAACATGCAGTGATACAATCATGTACCACTGCAGTGCCAGGATGGGGAGAGCTGCTGGATCACCCTGAAGCTGTTTCATCTTACCAGTGACCTTACCCAGCCATCTGTGGCTTTACTGGACTATACAGGGCTAATGCTACAAGCAGGATGGGAAATGAGCTTGGCATAGGAGTGCTTCTAGCTTTTATCTAATTTGGTCAGCTTGACCCTAAATTTAAAGTTACATTTGCCAAGGTAAATTAAACTTAGCTAGAATTTCTGGGCATTAGTAATGACTCTTTTAGGTTTCCCTAAGAGGCAAAAAAATAACTTTATAAACTTCCAAATGGAAAGAGTGAAATGAAATATTCACACAAACATGAAGATGTAAATGGATAACTGATCCAAAAACCAATTCATTTATTGCTCTGAATTCTCTGCTTTCTTATTCATCTCTTTTATTTACATTTTCTTGAGAAAATTTGGTAACTTACTTAGTCCATTATCTACATCTGCTGATACAGAAAGTCAGTGGCAGTAGGAATGGGTCTTCTGCTACTGCAGCCTTAGGTCTTGTAAAAGATCATGGGAAAGCAGCTGAACGGGATATAAACACTTTTCAAAACAAAGCCTTTCCCTGCAGAATTTCCAAGACAAGAATATTGGCTTGGTTGTGTGTGAGGTCCAACAGGCACCATGTTGCTACAGAACTTTTTAAAGGACTGAAACAGAAGCACATAGGAGAGAGAACATAGGGTGCAATCACTCAGATGAGTCACCTGATCCATTTCTACATGCTGATAATTCGCTGAGTGTGAACCACAATAGAATAATGCACTCAGCTGGTTCAGTTCCTTGTATGCTCTAAGTTACAAATCTACAAAAAGAAAATTTCTGCACATAGTCAAGTAATTCAGAGAGCAAGTACGAGATACAATGGAGAAACAAAAGAAGCAGTACAAGAGACAGAAAGTTCCCTGTTGCCCTATCAAATTTAATATCCCTGTATATGTTCTTGAATGCAGATTAGATGAACAAAGTTCTCTAATAGAAGTCAAAATATAAACACTAGGGACTCTCTAATACTTACTGTTCAATTACATTGCTCTATAACTTCCTGAAGAATGGAGAGTTTAAGAAAAAGAAAGGTTCTTTCTTTCTGGTTGGACATTTTTAAGTTATCATTTGTAAGACCACATAAAATGATTTAGTTGTCAAAGAATAACTGAACTACATAAATAAAACATTATATAAAAGACATCTTAGTACAATTTATGTGAAGTGAATTTCACAAGGACCAGTCTATTGTAGAAAATTCAACTTATCTCTTCCTGATCCTTTTATTCTATCTAAACATAGAAATTTATGTCAGTTCAAAAAAATCTATTACTGTTTCTCATAACTGAATCCATTATTTTCCCTCCATGATCCATCATGCAAAAACAAGTGCAATAGATAGTTCTAGCAGAACGTTGAACATAAAAGGCCTCAAGAATAGAATGAGATATGTTAAACCTATCTCGCTGTGCACTGTAACTGGAAATGATAACCTTGCAGTTTAATTTAAATCAAGTCATAGCAAAGACTTCTGACTGTAATTGTTATCTGCCACATAAATAAAATTATTGTGAAATGGAATTGGGCTTGGAAAGGTATAGTTTTGCTTGTTGCATTGCCTGTCAGCAAATTGGACTCTGGGAAGGTTTATCACTCTTTGCCACCTTCTCCCACCAGTATTTGTTAATAATGGATCCATTTGACTGCAAAAAATATGGAAAGAAAGAGCTGAAAACAAATGATTCATTTTCCACATTACTCTTCATTTCCAGAGCTTTGCTGGTTCCATTGCATTAGTGATTTTTGTCTCCTTTGTTCCCCTGCCAGCCCAAGGAAAAACAAAGACTAAAAATTAGAGCTTATATTAGAGTGGTAGCATTTCACTTGTATAACAGCAGTTTACTGACAGGAAAAATAAGGGAGCAAGTGCAAGTGCATGGATTTATGCCAGAACAAGGAACCAATGAATCTCAGATCAACATTTGTGGTTTCCAAGTTGGCCTCAGCTGGATTGTTGATGATGTCAAAGGTGCTCTTGCAGACACCAGACTTCGTCAGTGCAACACAGAGCAAGAGAAAAAGGAACAACCTACTTTCCTGCCTTTCCTTGCTTTCCACTTTTGCTAAGAAAAGAGTGCACTAGTCTCAGGACACACATCAGTGGGGTGGAAACGGTGCTCAGGCCTAGACGACAAAGACTGATTACACCTCTTCACCCACAGTACATCTTGGGGAGGCCAAATATGCATAGGCTGTCTCAAAGATGAACACAAAATTAATTTATTTGATGTAGTATTTATAATGAGACACACCAAAGTGAACTTACCTGCTGCTTTCAGGCAGTGCTGCTGCTTGTCTCCCACCCTGGGCCAGCACATAGGAGAGGCAGCTGGCAGACCCAAACTCTATTAACCAGCTGTGTCTGTGTAAGCATGCAAAGCAAAAGCAGAGGGGATGAAGTGGCAGGATGCAGCAGCAGGGGAACATTCCTGCCAGCAGTAGCCCAGCATGCCAGGCTGTATCACCTGGAGGCCATCACATGCAGGTGCCTGCTCCTCACACGGCTCATCAGGGTGCAGCTCACTTGCAGCTTCTGCTCCTTTTAGCCTAAGGTGGCTCATGAGGCCACACTTGGTAAATAGAGCTTGAAACAGCTAATTTCAGTTTACAGGCGGGTTATTACACACACCCTTCAGCAAAGGGTCTCACCTCTGCCAGATACCTTTACAGCAGCAAACACAAAGAAGACCACCAAGGGTGCTTCAGAGGAGAAATTAAGTTTTGGGACACTGATTCATCATCTCAAGGAGCTTTTCTCCTTTGACTATAGAAGAAATTAAGGAGACAAAGAATTCAAGTTACCTAGACAAGTAGACTTTCTACTTCCTATACATTGGTTTAGGAATACATTTATTGTACAGATGGGATTTCTTCAGAATTACTGGTGTCACTTCATGGAGTCCTGCAAGATGTTGCTGACTTGAGGGCAGAGGCCAGCACACAGCAACTTGGACCAGTTGGTGTAATATGGAATTCTGAAAACTTTGCTATTTCCCTGCTGTCAATTTTTTTTTCCTGGCAACTTGTCTCCTGTGAACTGCATACGTCTGCACTTTTTTAAGATTATATCTTTTATCAGCAATTTGGGTTTTTTTTTGAATGGGGAAACTCAGCTTTTAGTTGCAATGTTCTTAATGTTATAAGTCTGGAAAATCATGTTAGAAATACTGCTTGAACATCAAGATCCTAACTTTGGCACAAAGACCTTTCCAAATAACAGCATTCGTATTCTTATTAGATAAATCTACTCTGTGGGATTTGCTAACCTAGTACTGTAACAGAATTAAACACAGCTCCCAGCTAGATGAGATACACATGGATTGATGGAGGTCTGATAATCATAAATAACATCTTGTTGAGGCCATGAGCCAGTAGCTAGCACAAGTCTCTAAACAAACATGGACAGAGGACAGCAGGAGACTTTGCCTGAGAATCTCCCAGGTCCTTCCATGCCAGTTCTTATTAGGATGGGTTTGGTGAAGCCAAATTTCCACTTCTTTCTGAGTGGATGATTACTTTCCAAACTCACACGGATGCTATGACAGCTAATAAATTATAGCTGTATTATGCTGTACAAATTTGATTACTGTAAAGAGAGTTAGTGGGGAGAAACACTTCACAGAAAATGAACAGAGACACAATGCTATAAAGGCACTGTAGTTAGATAGAAAGAAGAGAAAAACAATAAATAAGGAAAGGGGTTTTGAATAATGAGTACATAAGAGATGTATATAAAAGAAACAAGCAGTGTGCTGCCTTTCAAAATAGAGGAGGGGAAAAGGAAATTAAAAATTAGAAGCAGGCAAGCCAGCAAGATGAATAGATTTGAAGTATAAAGAGAAGAAAAGAATTTGAAAAAGGTGTAATAAAAGCTACCCAGCCTTTAAAGTAATGAATATTTTAATTTTTTTATACCCTTTCTGGATATTAGAGGGAAATGGTAGCACACTTATACTGACCTTGCACTATGCCAACACAGTACAGTTTTTAATTCCTGAATTATGTTAAATAATTAGCTGATGAATCACAAGTAAATAATTAATTCTTGGTTCTGTAAGCCTCACAACTGAGAACATAAAACTGTCACAGTGATAACCAGATTTTAGCAGAACTGATACTGTTATTAGTCAGAAAAAGGACAAAAAAAAGGTAACATCTGTAGCTATAAAGACAGCTAGAAGAAGCACCTGGGCTCCATTTTCCCGTGGAACAAAATAAAATGGATTATCTATTATTTAAATCTACTATATTAAAGTTATGTCTGGAGAAGGTAGAAGAATGGATTGCTAGTTTCTCTGCAAATTACCTAGACTTGCCCTGGGCTTTGTCCTGTTGGAGAGGGTGCATGATTTGAGGGAACAGGATTGGAATGGGTGTCACTCTAAAAGGCTAAGGCAGTCTTAAGTTCATCTTAAAATATCTTTTCCTCCAATACTCCTAAGATGAAGAGCTATAAAATAAATCCTTACAGTTCAAAGAACAATAGTTTATAAGTTTCATGGCACTATTTAACAACCTTAAGAACAAACAGCTTCAGGAATCTAATGTTTATTCTTGTAATAGAGGAACAGTAGACAAACTAAAAAAGATCAACCTTTGTACCCACAAAACAAAATAATTCCTTTTCTGCAATGAACATCTGTTTATTTCCTGATACAGTAAAAGCATGTGTACCTCAAGCCTAAGCAAGGCAATTACTTTGGATTCTGCCATCATCACAGTCATAGGATCCCTTTTATTATTTTTTACAGTGAGAGGACTCTGGGAGCACAGATCCTGCTGTGCAGAGCCATCACACTCCTTCATGAGAACAGCCTGGTAGGAATGAAAAATCTAAGCAAAAGCAAATAATTATTCCAATAAAGAAATGAAAAACATTTACAATAGTTATCAAGCTAGACTCATTTCATTTGATAATTCTTGCAATCTCTTATTTAAAAATAAATAGAAGACACTTTATTTTTTAAAAAATTTTAAGAGTCTCTGAGGATCAGCGTGGGCATGAAAATGTACCAGGATTCTTCAGCACCTCCAAGGAACCTCGAAGCCTGAGGTTAGGCTGATTCAACAGCTCTCTGTCATGTATGTTGGCTACCACCTGTCCTTCAGGGCCCACTGAGGGGTTCCTTTCACCATGGCCTGTGCCTAGGCATAGGAATAGGACTCAGTGTCAAAGTAGCCCTCCAGCTGCTTGCTGAGGGCATCGAAGGTGGGCCGCCCATCCACCTCCGCGCTCCAGCACTGCAACATCATCTCATAGAGCGGTGCTGGGCAGGTCTCTGGCTGAGGAAGTCTGTACCCATCATCCAGCAGCTGGATCACCTGGTGTCCTGGCATACCTGCAAACCAAAATAAGTTCATCAGACTACTCAGGGTCTACTTAGCAATGCCATATATCTCTGTGTTTTCATCACAGAACCACGGTAGAATGGTTTGGGTTGGAAGGGACCTTAAAGACCATCTTGTTCCAACCACCCTGCCATGAACAGGGACAACCAGGTTGCTCACAGTCCCTTCCACCCTGACCTTGAAGACTTCCAGGGGCGGGGCCTCATCTCTTACTGTTTACTAGCAGTTAAAAACCAGCTCCAATGCTTCCCAACCACCTCATCCTGACTGTGCCACCTGCAAGGCACTGCAAACAGGTTTTTTGGGAGTGAGGCTTTTCTTCCACCAGCCAGGTTTGCCAATATTTTTCTGACATCTATTTCACTTGAATTGTTGCTAAATCCCTATAGTCTCAATGACTCCAAAATCTCTCAAGAAAACTTGTACTGCTACTGAATTTTCCTCACATTTAGAAACTTTTTTGCAAAGTCAGCCCTAAGTTTCTTCGAGGGCAGATGTGCAGTGACATCCTGCCTGCTCTGCCACCACCAGTAATGGAGAAGAAACCATTCCCCTACCTTTGCTATACCTTTATATCCTAAAACTATTTTTCCGTTCACTTTTAATTTTTTACTCTTTAAATTAAATTAATTGTGTAATCTTAACTTCTTTTCCCTAGATCTCTGAATGGTGTTTCCTCTGCACATTGTCCACTGCCACCAGAAATCAACATAACCTTTTCTCCTAACCGATTACTGAGAACAAACTACTGAAAGTAATACAAAGTAAGCAAATAGCCATGGCAAAAGAACATTTTCTACTGTCAAGATACAGGTAAAATATGTCTTTGCAAAGGGATAACACTGAATGTATTTTCAGACAATACTCAGAACTATGGTGTTATGTAGTTATACTAAAATCTTTTATTTCTGAGTCTGTGTGCATATGCACACAGCTGTAGCTTATGTAGGATCTCAGGATTTTTTGCTTTGCTTTTCTTTTTTTATTTTTTCTTCAGAATACTTTCATAGGAGTTGAGAGTGGGAGTCAAAAAGCAAAATCAATTTTGCCTTTTACAGGAGATATCAGTTTGAGACCCTGTGAAGTGCAGTTTATGGTAAACGCACCACCCCTCAGGCCTGTTCAGGTGCAACATAACTGTTTTTTGCTTTAGTTCTTCCCTTGTGCTCTCCTCACCAGCACTAAATGAGCCAGAGTCAATCATTTCACTAATATTGTGTGTTATTGGAGCCACAGTTCCTTGAGCATTTTTCACAGTGCTAGGAACAGTGACTGCTCTCAGACCACTATATCTACTTTTGATGTAGGTGACATATTTTAATTATTTCTTTAATTCTTGTGATCCTTCTCTTTATGAAGACTTTTCAATGCAATAGTAAAATATGAGGTAAGGTGTGAAGTACACCCTGATTCATTTCTCAGACACCTTCTTCCTGAAGTGCCCATGCCATGCTCCACATATAGTTTATTCTTCCATGAGATATACTAAAAAAAAATTTTAAAAGGACAGTATGGGGAATAAAAAAACCTTCTTTTTTTTCTTCCCTTTTTCCATATTCCAAGAATTGGCATCTTTGATCTGATGCTGGAGGAAAATAGCCAGCTGGCTTAGGTGCCTGTGCAGTGCAGGTTGACTTCAGCAAGAAGCATCTTAAATGTATGCTAATCACAGCATTTGGAAAGCTTCCAGGGAGCCTGGGGAAGCCAGAAGGTCTGACCCACTAAATGGACCTCATCTGAACAGCCTTCTTTCTCTGTTTACAGTTTTAACCCTTTAACATGCCCATAGAACAGGCATTCAACCTTTTTTTTGTGTGTCATTATGAAAGCAAGAAAAAATTAGACATCATTCTTTAGGTTAAAAGGACTTACCAGCATAAGGCATCTTCCCATAGGTGATTATTTCAAACAGAAGTATTCCAAATGACCAGACATCTGATTTAATACTGAATCTGTTGTAGCGAATCGCCTCCGGGGCTGTCCATTTTACTGGTAGTTTTGTTTCAGTCCTAGCTTCATATACATTTTCATTTTCTACCTGTCATGGATACAATGAAGCAAGCCTGATTTCAGATCTGCTTCAGCAAAGCACTTAAGCACCTGACTAAGCTCAGCCTGTGCTTAATCTTATCATCTTTTAGCCAAGAACTTGTCTTTCATGGCATTACAGTACACATTTTCTGAAGTCTATCATTGAATTTGGCTTCACATTTGAGAAATGCAGAGGCTTCATCGGAGACTTTTCTAAAGCATTTATCATTTCGAGCAAGCACACAGCATTGGAGTAGCTCCTGATTAATTATGACTTGCTACCGTGAATCCTGGTCTTGGCATGCAAGATTTCAAAAGTCTGTCAGGAAAGGCAGCATAAGCATCCTGCTGACACCAGAGACCAAATGGCTTCACATCATGTCATCAGTAAACAGAGAAGGCAAGAGCAAGAGCTAACGAATTTCAGAACCTTTCTCTGTGATTTATTGTGGTGTTGAAGGGCCATTGAATATAATAACAATCACTTACACAGGTTTCTGGGACCAAAGAATAAACTCTGACTGATTCAAATTAACATATTAGCTTACAGAGAGTCAAATTAATTAATGTAAAGTGAAGCTGAAAGATGCATAGAAAAACTGTTAACTTGCAAATTTGTAGAATCATGTCCTTAAAGGTTTATTGCACAAACATCTAAATTTTTCAAACATTTATTCTCTCTTTAATTCCTACATGTAATTTAGCGTACTTAAGTCACATCCAAGTCTTGGTCAAGACTTGGTTACATGCAAATCCTGGCAAACGTGTAGCAGATTTTCCTTGTTTTAATACAAAATCTATGTTTCCCAGCTTCAATGCCATATAGTTTTGAAAATACTGGTTGTAGTGATTTTTATCTATATACCGATACAAGTATCTTGATCATAATACTCATCTCTAGGAGTAAGAAATTATTTCATTATACTAATTAATCCATATGGAAATACTGATTTCATTTCTCACACCTAATCCTTTGTGATCTTTCCATGTGACCATGTTATTGCTTTGGCTTAGGAGACAAACTATTCCTAGAAAAATATGCCAAAATGACTCTACAACTGAATATCTCAGTAAAGTTCAGCTTCAACAAGAAATGTCAACAGCTGTAAATTATTACCCTTTCTAGTGGGGACAAAGGAGAAATATCCACTGTGAGCATTATTCATTTAAAAATACGTATTTTTTCATGTTACAGAATGTGCAATCTGAACTTATGCATATCTAGAAGGATCAAAATTAAGCAAAAAGCACTTTCAAAGTCCCTTGATGCCATTGTCAAGCCATTATTCTATACTTCAGTGTGTAATAAATCCAACTCTGTTACAAACTTCAATTTCGGCTGCTTGAATGAAAAAAAACAAATGAGAAGCAGAGGACTTTTTTCTCTGTTTTTCCTTCTCAGGGTAAAAATATAAATCAATTAGAAAAAAAAACACAACCAAAGATCTCAGAAATTATGGATTACATACTGAAATCCATAAAATATGGCAAATCAAATCTTTCTAACTCTGATCAAATCATTTTCAGAGGTAGAAAATCTCATTTCTGAACCACAGTTCTTTCCTAGGGAGATATTGGTCAGTGATATTTGTCATTCCCTGCCCTCGAGGGCTAGAGGGAAAAAAACATTGCAGTGGCAAAGAACTTGAAACTGGATCAGATTTAAAGCTCTGAGAGCTCACTTTATGAACTTTGCTGTTAGCTGTGGAGAAGAATAAGGTACTTTTATGATTACTACCTGCATTTGCAAGCATCATGGAGGCAGTGGAGCAGTGAACAAGGGGAGAATTGCTGCCAATACATTTTTATATGACTTCCCTTACAGGCTCAAGAATATAATTTTTCCATCATTCCCATGATCTCTCTCCATGTGGCAGACACTAGCATCGTGGATAAAGGTTGCCCAGCAAAGGCTGTTGCTTGCTAGGCTCCTTCCTTGGTGACTAAGTGGGAAGCAGACGCCAGAATGCTTTCTGTAGACTGACAAAAAGGCACAGACCACCTTCTAACTTTGCATAGGATAATGCAGGTAGAGGATATAAGTGAACACATTAGGGATCCTTTTCTCCCTGGGCTTGCCTTTTGCCTGAACACAGCAATTTAGAGACTGCAGTCAATCCTTGAATTGGCCTCTTCTACCTTGTTCTCCAGAGTTAAAAGCAGAGACAATTCACTCTCCCACAACCTACCTTAAAAACTCTTGCAAGTCCAAAGTCTGCCACTTTGTAAACATTGTGTTCACCAACAAGGACATTCCTGGCTGCCAGATCCCGATGGATATAGTTCTGAGATTCAAGGTATGCCATCCCAGAAGCCACCTGAGTAGCCATGTCTACTTGATGTGTCAGGAAGATTTGAGAGCCTCCATCTTCTGTTTAAAAAGAAGATGACAAGAATAGCATAATGTTTACAGATTTCAGATACAAATAACTGAAAAACTGTCTGGGTCAAATAGCCAACACAAATGAACTAAACCATGCAATACAATAAAGTAATAGCCCAACCAAATGACAGAGGTTAGCAAATGACACTCCTTATTTCACAATAATTGAGTAACAGTGCCTGCCCCATCTTCTCTAAAAGAGTGGATACTAAATGCAGGAGTTGATCTAGGCCTGGAAGGAGCTTCTGACACAGTCCAAAGAGAAAGCTGTTTATCTGCTGATAGTAACATAGTATGCACCTTTCTGGCAGGTGCATAAAACTGTTCCAAACTGTGAGTAAGAGTTAATGTCAGTATTCACTGGCTGTAGCCAAAGCTGACTAAGGATGGAAAGGCAAAAAATTACCATTGTTCCCTGTTCTCCAATGATTCTTACTAGGAAATATACCATCTGCTGTCAAGTCTAACTCTCATTTTCACTTTCCAGTTCACTTGATGCTTCACACTGTTATCTCTGTCATTGCTATTCAACAGTAGGACTCCTTGAGCTGTTTTCAAGCTGCCTGTTTCTCTAGTAGGACTTTCTGAAACAATGTGTAATTCCCACCACTTTAAAACCAGCAAATCCCAGAAATTGAGATTTGCCAATCAAAGATAAGCTGTTCAAACAAAGTAGTAGCAGAACTTTGAGCAGAGCAACTCGCCTCCACAAATGAAGGAAAGAGTCTCGGGCCATGAAAAACTGCAGCCAAAAATTGTAAGACAGGTAACCAAAAAGTCATTGAGGTATAACACATGAGAATACAAATTCTGGGCCTTTGTGAATTTTTAAGGACAGCTGACTTCCTCATAAGAAAGAATTATACCCCAAAGTAATCCGGGTAAGACATAACAGTGTTACATTCAAGCACCACTGTCACCCAAACCCAAATCCTGCAGCACTGAAGCATGAGTGCCTACCTCTGTAGCTTCTAACACTCAAAACCGTTTCAACTTTCTGTTTCAGAATCTTAACAATATCAAAAAGCTGAATGTTTGCTGCTAGGCTTATTGGCAGTTCTCCTTTCTCATCAGATTGGTGACTTTTACTTGCTGCCTGTGTGTTAGAGAAATAAAACATTTGTAGCTGGCAGTTTTCTGTTGTTTATTTTTAAATAATTTGTAGTGATAGTGTGTCTTAGCATTGTTTTGCATAGCCTCCTCCAGTTCTGGCATTGTATCTGACATAACCTTGCAATCCCACTTTATGAAGAATGAAATAAAGTGTAAAATTCCATTGTTTACTAATCTATTCTGCAATCTCCAGGCCTTGAATTTCCTTCTCATCTAGATGTTCTGAGATGAATAGGTAGAAAAAAAAGAATTAAATTATTAAATTTGTCCTGTATGAGTATTACCCTACTTCCTTTTTGAGGCTAAACTCATGGTCATAATAATCCAGCACCAAGATTATTTACTTCTATTGTTGACTCAGAACATTTACTTCTATTGTTGATTCAAAACATCTTTTCTTCTCCTACACATATGTTTCATAGTTGCATTGACCTTTAAAAGAAAGAGGGAGAAAAATCAGCCTATATGAAAATCCATTCAGGCCACAGGCTAATATAATGTTCTGAAGTTTTGCAATTCTGAAAACTGGCAGGCATCAACATTTACTATTCATCTTGCTAGACAAAGATATAAATCCATAAATTATGCTCACGTTGTATTTAATCAGAAAATACCTTAATATTTATAGGTAGCTTGCATGAGTACTTGGGTTTTGGAAGCTATCTTATGTGTGTCAGCTTTAAATGTTCCTTTTCACATGGCTTCTTCATCTGCATGGGTTGTGAACTACTTCCTGGTGAAAGCAGACAAGAATTCAGACAAACTTGAGCACATTGGTCTGCCAATGCTCAGGGATAGCCTGACACAAGCTTGCTCCAACAGGCAGAGCACAGACATGTACTGAAAAACGGATGACTCATTTAAGCCTTGTGTTTAATGAGCTGCCTCAGTGCAGAATAGGAGTTAGAGCTGCTAAACCCTTCCTGTCTTATTCCCTGCAGGACACTCAGGTGCACCACGCTAAAGGACAAAGACGAGATCCACCTCTAACAGTGGAGTTGCAGTTGAAAGATTTTTCGTCTATTGAGGCCTGTTTGGGGTAGCAGATCAGACTGGGCTGACCTGCGGCCTTTAGCCTGTGGGCTGAGAGGGAGAGGAAGAGGCCACTGTTACCCTGGCTGCTACAGTATTTCTTGGATGATTTATCTCTGTGAGCTGGTTCTGCACTGCAGCTGTCCTGGAGGAAAAGGTTTAAGGAGGAGCCTCAGCTGATCAGGAGCTCCAAACTGTGCACAAAGATGGAGCATGAAAGTACATGTCTCTTTGGGATCTGAAGTGTAAATCATGTATAGCAGTCTCATAAAGATTTCTGACTATACCTCCAAAACACCAGGCTGGACCAGCCAAAGCACACAAGTTCAAGCACAGCACTATGTTAGTAAAACTGTGGAAGGTTCCAAACCAGAGCCAGCTCCCATTTCATTCAGAGCACTTCAGAAGATATTACAGCTGTATTCAAACTACATGTGCTGTAGTTTGTTTTAAAGTGTTCTGAGGGAGGAAAAACTATAAAAACAACAAAACCAAAGTTTAATATAGACTCATAGAATGGTTTGAGTTGGAAGGGACCTTAAAGATCCTCTAGTTCCAATCTCTCTGCCATGGGAAGGTATGCTATTCACTAGCTCAGGTTGCTTAGGGCCCCATTCAACCCAACCTTGAACACTTCCAGGGATGGGGCACCCACAACTCTGGGTAACCTGTCCCAGTGCCTCACCACCCTCATAGTGAAGAGTTTCTAAGAATTACCTAAACTAAATAAAGCCTTTTTCAGTGTGAAGCCATTCCCCCTTGTCCTATCACTACGTGCCCTTGTAAAAAGTCCCTCTCTTCATCTGTCTTGTAGGCCCCCTTTAGTACTGGAAGGCTGCTAAGTTTTATATATATGTATATGTTTGTATAACTTCCACAATCAAACTCAGGCACTACTGGTGAATTTATAAAATCTTCCCATGGACCAATAAAGAAAATGTAGTACTTCCATGTCCTTTTTTACTAATATTTTTTTACAAAACTAACACTCCTATATGGAAAATTTATTAGACAAAATATTAAAGAAGTCTTGGGGTCTGCACCCTGTTCTTACCAATCACAACATCTCATATAGAAAAGACAGGAAAATATTCTCACTGACCTATATCGGACAATAAAAAGAAAAAAAAGGAAAAAGAAATAAAGCAGCACTTTCTCCAGTGAGGGTATTGCCTCCATAATATTTCACAGAACTTCAAGACTGTGTCCCCGACAGAACAAGCTCCAGGTCTATCAGATTTGATAAAAGCACTCATATATTTATGACAATTTCATTCACATCCAATTACAAAGAAAAGTTTTCAGTTGCATTTTTCTCATATTGGTGGCAGCTCAATAACTCTGCATAGCAGTGTTCATCAAGAACTATTCCAAAGTACATTTGCAGGATGCACAGGGAATTCACATGCCCATCATTATTAAGCAGCTGTCATCATGGTGGAATGTGATAGTAAATGTGAATAAAATGTTAGGGATTTTTAAAGTTGGAAAAGCATACCACGCAGTTCTAGGGAGGAAAACTTAATCAGAGAATATCTTTGGACTTTCCTCTGCTATAATTTGCCATATTTACCCATAGTGCTCACAAAGACAGAAGCCTTCTGGAAATATTTTCCTGTTCCCTGGAGTGGTTGAGTCTCAAGAGCTGTCCACTCATCAGGAGCTGTCCACTCCGTGTCAGCTGATACATATCACTTCCAGTCATGGAGCTCTATGCAAGATTCAAATCTCTTTCCTTAATACTCTCACTGACAGCAGACTTTTCTCTGACCAATACCTATCAAAGTACCTGGATCTCTGCCTCCACCTCTTAGTTCTATGTACTTCCCTGTGTATAGGCCATCAGAGAAGGAGAGGTACCACTAGGCTGGGTTTCAACTGGACATTTTTACTGTTATCCTGATGACTGCCTGAAAACCAACTGCCTTTCCACAGTCTCTGATGCAGGGCTACAGAAGTGAACACGTAGCAAAGAGCAGGTTGCACACACGTGCTGCACGCAGCAAGGGCAGCTGCTGTGCATGTGCTGGCAACTGATCCACACACAGGCTGCAGTGTTGATGTGCCCTGGACATACTGTACTCTGTGCACAAACAGGTCAATTTTCACCTCTGCAATAGCTGTGGCTCATCCTGGCTTTCTCAGAGCTATTTGTCCAGTGCAGTAAGTGTTTTCATGCACAGCAATCATTTCCTGATGTGCCAGGCTCTTTCAATCAGGTAAGCGGCACTCTGCACACAAAGGCACGAAAGATGAGAATTGAAAGGAAATTTGTGCCTTGCTACCTCTGGAGAGTAAATGCCTACAAAACTGTAGACGATCTGGCCCAAGCTCATGGCAGACCCTCTCTACGCAGTTCCTGCTGCAGCTGTCCCTCTAGCAGAGATTTCTTTAGCTTTAATTGTCTGTGGACTGAGCCTTATTTGAAAAAATGGATCTGCAGAGAAGACGGGGGAAGGCATGTGTCGCGTTAATACTTTCTGTGGTATTTCACAGGGTTTGCTTTATGGGCTGGAAACAGAGAAGAAATTAAGCATGACAATCGCAGCAAACATTTTGTCTTCAAGAGATCATTACGCTTAGCATCTCACAGACATCTGCTAAACTGAAAATGGGTAACACTAGAATCAAGCATTTCTCAATAACAGGAGTGAACTTAAAGTGCAATCATTATGCCAGTCTGTTCCAGGCTGTACATTTTTATTTTTAATTATTATTTGCCTTCAAAAGAGCACTTTGAAGTACTGCTGAGATAAAAACCCTAATGTGATAGGCAAGGGACAAATTCATAGTGAAAAGCTATCCCTGACTAGTAATAGTTTTCAAAGCTGTTAAGTACATTTTGTGGAAGTGCTCCTATTTCACGTCAAATACGATGACCTATCCTTCTGGATGCTTGTATTTTTATTCCATTAGTGTATGTTCCCACCTACTCATAGAACTGGGTGAAAAAATATGGGTCGTTACAAGGCAAGAATCAAACTGTGAATGTGATTCTTTCCTACTTCTCAAATATTTTGGCCCACCAAAAATTCATAAACGTCTCTTTCCATTTTTCTTACACCCACACGCGATAAATAATGCAGCTTTTATATTAAAATAGGGTGTTGTACTTCTATTTTTTATGTTAGTGTGTTTACTAAACTGACAGCTGTAGCACCTCTAAAATGAATTTATAGTCATTTGCTTACTTTGAAGGTATTCTAGAAGACTTCCAAATCTCATCAGCTCAGTAATAATATAAATTGGGTCCTCCAAGGTACAGACAGCATAAAGCTGTATAAGCTTTGGATGTCTCAAGTTCTTCATTATTTGTGCTTCCCTCAGAAAGTCTTTTGGATCCATTGAACCTGAAACAACAGCATATAATAAAACATAAGCTGAGGTTATCAAAGGCCTTCCTACCAGCCTGGCAGTCTTAAGGAAATAACTGAGATTGTTTTCTGTCTTGAAAGTACATTAGCATCTCAAGTCTTCACAGTTCCCACGGAAAACAGACAGTGCAGCTCAAACAAACAGTTAATGAGTGAAATATGCCAGTTGTGTAGGGACAGAGAACATATGTGTTCCAGACACCAGAAATATAAAGGCTAAAATCAACTGCCCCCAGGCCTCCCCCAAACAGGAAACAAAAGTGAGGCTAGAATGTTAGCAGATACAATTTAAGCAAACAACCAGTTAATGAAAGGACCAGAAACTGAGGTGAGAGTGTCTAGGTAATGAACATAAAACTTCTGAGAGACAACTAGTGCTGCAACAAGAATTTGTTGCACTATATTTTCAGCTTCACCAATCAAAGCCTGGAATTACTTTAGCCTATACAGAGTAGATGTGTGCATTTATATCTATAAAAATAAATAACTATTTTTAATGTTCATGTAATAACAACATTATTAGAAATACTAATGTATGCACAGATGTAACATTAATTTTACAAACACTTAAATGTTAAAGTGTCTTAACAGCAAATTATGCCAACCTTTTAGGCATTACATAAGGTAATAACATCTCTAGTTCTATTCACATACACAGTGAGTCAATGTATAAACTATGTCAAAGAAACAATCAGAAATGGCACAGGGAGTCATGGCAAATTTAGGATTAAAGCTCATCTGTCCTGAATAGGGGATCAATTAGAAAAGCACAGATAAATAAAGAAGTAAAGCTTTTTCTATGAATGATTCAGTAATGATCAGATATGGTCAGATGTTTGAGAAAGCTGGTAAATAGTATCCACTTCAAAATGCTTGTACAAAAAAATATGAAATTATTCAACTACTCAAATGTCTCTTTCTTCCTAAATCAAAATACTTTAATTAAGAAAATATTACAGTGAAAACTGGGGAGGAAAAAAATCTATCCAAGTTATTCTGCTCTATGCTATGTTTGAAAACAAACTCTTCTTCTGGTGTAAGCAGATTGAGTCATTTCAGAAGCCAAGGCTGCAAGAATAAGTTTTTATGTGTTTTTTTAACATTAGGTAACCAAAAAGGTTCATTTGAGAGTTTGTCTCCGTTTCAAACACAGATGTTTAAGTTAAGTGAAATTCTGGGAGTATGTTAAATGGCTCAGCAATAAAATTTCAACAGAAAATCTGTTCTATAAAAAGAACTAGCAAATCAGCCTGGGCCACTTTTATCCAACACCTACCTTGAGTGCCACCTCCTGAAAAATGCTCCAATCTATTTCCCAAAACATACTAATGATGTGTGATTTCATATCCTTGCATCAATGCAAGAGGAATGACTCAGTAATGCTTCTGATATAGACTCTATGAAAAAAGAGCCACTTGACATTGCAAGTTGGGAGAGCGAAGATTACTTCAAGGGACAAGTGCTCCTCTCCTCCATGTCCTCATACTTCCCTTGGCAATCCCATAGGGTCCAATTTGGCAATACTCAATAGGATGTCATTAGGAGGGATAGTGAAACTTAATGGATTTCATTGCCATCAATAAATGGAGAGCAGCCAATAATATATATCCTCAACAGGTACAGGCTATACTAATTTCCTTTTGACACTGTCAGAGGAAAGTCGAGGCCTGCATGAAAAGTAAATGATCTTACTTGGTCTGGATAAAGCAGAAATTATGACAGTCAGAGAGAAAATCCCAAATATCTGTTATGCTTCTCTATGTCTTTTTCCTGTATAGAGTAGCACAATCTTTACAGATTTTTTTGAACTTTCCACCAACTCTAGATTTTTTTTAAAAAATATCTAGGCTTGTCTTTATATGGTTTAACTCACTTTGATACTGATTTAAAACTGTGCCCCACTAGCTTACCCTTTTCAAGATATATGCATTGTAATAGAAATCAACCTAAAATCTACAGAGAAGCTGCATGGTGTGAAGCATTCTGCCTCCAAAAGCAAATGCATAAGCATGACTAATGATTTAGCGTCAGTGCCAAAATTTGACAAGTTGATCTTAAAAAGGATAAAGTATTTGCTCACTTAGGGTCTCCCAAATCATGGAGCCTCTATGGATCATCATACAGGATTTCTTCACACCATAGAATATGACAACCTGATTTGTTCCCATCATCAAAGTTTGACTACAAGGAATTTGTCAGTTTAATCATGATATAAACTTCTTCTAACAAGCTGAAACCAAGCAACATGCTTTTCACATATAACAACTTTCAATAACTTGATCAGGAGAGAAGTATTCTATTAGTTGAATAGCTGCAAATCTTCCTTTACATTGTAAAAGAAAATAATAATAGATAACAAACTAGTGACAAAGATCAATAAGTATGTCATACATATTTTAAAGAGCATATGTAACTTTCTGTTTTAGTTAGTTTATATCATTAAATAGTACAAGTAGCAGACAGTCCCTCAAATCCCCCAGAGCCCTGTAGATCTTATATTGTAGTTCATAAAAGGATCCGATGCCAACAGAAAAAAATTTAGAAGTGTCTTTATGAGTGTTTTGCCTAAGATTAGGTTTTAGCAGCTGCATAAGCAAACTAAAAACTGCCTCTAAAAAAAGTGAACATGTGTGTTTCAAATGATTTGGATAAAGCCTGTCACAATAGTGGTAAAGAAGTTACAATATATCCCTTTGAGGAAGGAAATACATGCCACACAGAGTTTCAAATAACTGAGGGGTTTTTTTTAGTTTGTCGTTAAATATGTGTGTTTTTAATGAAGCATACATTTTCAGCTGTAAGTAGTTAACACAGTATGAACAGCAGGTTACTGTGAGTAGAAACCACTTGATCATAAAATAATTAGTTTACAGAAGTCTTTACTGAAACAACTGAAGGCTTCTTTTGTGCAAGACACCAGTTTGGGAGTAGGTTTATAAGTACCTGGAGAAAATACAGTTTTGATAATTTGTTTTTTGAATCAAACATGTTTTTTTAAATGTCATTCTTAAGACCAAAATGTTGGAATCTATTTCTTTGATATGTCCGATGATGATGTGCTATTTTGACAGGAATCACCTCTAATTTAAGCCTACTTAAAACAGGTATATCAGTTCTGATTACCTTCTTCTTGAAAATATTTTGTTCTAGATTTGAAGAAGCTTCACGTTATAAGATAAACCCTGATAATTTGGAAAGGAGATAGAGAGGAAGTCAGTTATTTTCCAGATTCCATTGGCCTAAATATATGTGGCCCTTACATATTCGATAAGCCTCTCACGAGACACTTTGTTTGCAACTTTCAATAAACCTTCCCAAATTACTTCAAAGTAACCTTGTACTTCAGGGGAGCCTAGTCTTCTGAATTAGTTTATACAAAACAAACTTATGCGGAGACTACATTAAGCATATAACTGTGATCTTCTGAAGAAATTTATGAGTAATAAAGAAATAACATTAAAAAGAACAAAAATTTGGCAACACAAGAGACTAAAAAATCCTATTCACAGGTGAGTGGTATAGGTATCTGACAGTTCTCAAGCAGCTTTGTCACTATACAGAAGTAAACTTACAGGTTAGAGTAAGGTCATATAGTGAATTAAATGGAATAAAAGAATCTCTTTTTTTCCTGGGAACTTGAGGGACTTTCCTGAGTGCAAAGATTTTTAGATTGCATATGCACTAAAGAGATTACATAGTTAAGAACTGAAAATATTATTAAAAACTCTGATGATGGTACTAACCCAGGCACTATTTGGGAAAAGCCTCCTGAAAAATAAAAATCACGCTTGGGCAGCTTTCATGTAGAGAGAAGCTTGGGAGAAGCTTTACAAGATGATAATGACAAATGTATCTGTCAACTTGAACAGGCATAAGGAACTTTATCAGATACAATTAATTGGTGATGATAGATGTCTGCTTCACATGCTGATAGCTGGAGAAGCAAGCTAGCCCAGACAAAGGGTTCTAGGATATCCATCACAGTCAGCATAGGATGAAGTGCAAATCCCTGCTGCAATGACTTCCACTTAAATAGAAAAAACAATGTCTCAGTGAGGAAATAAAAACAGAAATGTGATATGACATGTTCAGGGATCTGCATCAGGACAGTGTTATGCAGAGCCAAGAACAGAAATAGCAACTGCTGGCTTCTAGACTATTTTCCTGTCTGTTGATCCCTACACCTCTTTGATAACTTTGATAACTCAAAAAGTCAGAGGTGTTTCTTAAAGCAAAGATGTTTTGTGTTTTGTTTTTTCATTCACATATCCATCACTATGGTTTTGCCTGGTAAAATGCCACAGATGTTTCCAAAGCAGAGCCAAACACCAGTGAACAAATAGGAGAATTATCTGAATGAAGGCATCATATTACTCCTGCTTTTTGTTTATAGTCACAGTGACCAACAGATTGTAATATAGATAAGGAGAGGTAACAGGAAAGACACGGACTAAACAATATTTTACAGCGAAGGGTGGAATGATCATGGCGAATTTCAGTTGTTGTAATTGTGCTGAAGGGACAAAGGGTGGATTGTGTGTAAACTGTTCACTTTTCTTTGGTGTTATGATTATGGTATTTTGAAGTGGAGAACTCTTTTTCTTGATGTGAGTGAAGCTTGTGAAGTGTGTGTGATGAATGTGGACTTGAATGATAATTCTTAAATATTACATCCTTAAATATTAATTCTTAAATACACAGAGCTGAGGTGTAGAATATATTGGGTTTATGTGGCAAGGTTTGGTAGTGGGGGGCTACAGTGGTGGCTTCTGTGAGAAGCTGCCAGAAACTTCCCTCATGTTGATAGATCCAATTCCAGTTGGCTTCTAGATAGACCCACTGCTGGCCAAGGCCGAACTCATCAGCTATGGTGGTAGCGTCTCTGAGATAATAGATTTAAGAAGGGGGAAAAGAAAACTTGTGCAACACTAGCAACAGCCAGAGGAGAGAGAAGTGGGAATATGTGACCCTCACTGGAGCAATCTGTTCCTGAAGGACTGCACCCTGTGGAAGGGATTCATGCTGGAGCACTTTGAGAAGAACTGTGGCCCATGGGTAGGACTCAAGTTGGAGAAGGTTGTGGAGAACTCTCTGCTGTGGGAGGGCCCCCATGTTGGAGCGGGGGAAGAGTGTGAGGAGCCCTTCCTCTGAGGAGGAAGGAGCGGCAGAGACAGTGTGTGATATACTGACCAATACCTCCATTCCCCGTCTCCCTGCACCACTGCAAGAGAAGAGGTAGAGAATTCGGAAGTGAAGTTAAGCCAGGGAAGAAGAGATGGGTAGGGGGAAAATGTTTTGAGATTTTTGGCTTCCTGACATCCAGATTTTACAATCAATGGAAAGAAATGTGCTTTTATTTTATGTTATTTATTTCTCATTGTAATGTGCATTTTTAATCTATATTATTTATCTGATATGTGTTTATTTCTTCCTGCTAATTATTAAAAAAGCTAAAGATGTTAGATGTTAAATCTAAGATGTTAGATGCCTAAAAACAGGAAAAATGTAGTTAGTATGCTGCACATAAATATTTCTGAAGCAGTTGTGAAATTTCCGATTTGTGTGCAACATTTAAAAAATTGGGTCATGTTCAATTGGAAAAGAAACAGATTTCTGAATACCCTAATTACTCTCAAATCAGGAATCACACATTTGCGTCACGAGAGAGCTGGCTCTGGGAAAAACCCATCACTGCCATCTCACCAGAATTCTGGGAGATTAGTTTTTCCTACAGGTTGGAAGGTCACAGAGTCACAGAATCATAGAATCATTAAGGTTGGAAAAGATCTCTAAGATCATCAAGTCCAACCATTGATGCAGAACTGTGATGTTTATAACTAAACCTTGACCTCAAGTGCCACATCCACACATCTTTCGAACACTTCCAGGCATGGTGAGTCCATCAGTTCCCCAGACAGCTTGTCCCAATGCTTGACAACCCTTTCCATAAAAAAAAATTTTCCCAATATCCAATCTAAACCTTCCCTGGCACGATTGTCCTGTCACTTGTTACCTGGGAGAAGAGACTCCCACCTCACTACAACCTCCTTTCAGACAGCTGTAGAGAGCAATAAGGTCTCCCCTGAGCCTCCTCTTCTCCAGGCTAAACCCCAGCTCCCTCAGCAGCTCCTCATATGACTTACTCTCTAGACCCTTCACCAGCTTCATTGACCTTCTCTGGACACGGTCCAGTACCTCAATGTCTCTCTTGTAGCGAGGGGCCCAGAACTGAACACAGGATTCAAGGTGTGGCCTCACCAGTGCTGAGTACAGCAGTGCAATCGCTTTCCTACTCCTGCTGGCCACACCATTTCTCATACAGGGCAGGATGCCATTGGCCTTCTTAGTTCTAAGCGTTTTAGCAGCAAGGGCTAGAAATTAGTTTAAGTGCAGAAAAAAGTGTTTGAGAAATGAGGAGAATATTATATAACAAGAAATTATATTTAGCCTTTCTAAAGACAATTAAAAATTGGTGTAACTCACTCTGTACATACCTGCAAAATGGAAAGAAAAACTAATGCCTGCAAAGCGGCTTTTATTTTGTTACAAGAAGACATAACAAGGGTTAGAGAGAGGACATCAAGTAAATTCAGATGCGAAATTAGGCCCACATTCTTACAGTGCCTTCATCTTGGGAGAGAACATTTCTAATTATTATCTAGTCAAGAACTAGCTATGTTTTGATTAAATATAAATACTAATCTCAGCAGAGGAATGATGTGCAATGGCTTATAACAGCAAAGTATTCAGACTATATATAATCTAAAACAGATGTACACTGCAAAACAATGCTCAACAGAAAAACTCAAAGTAACAGAAATCCTTTCTGCCCTTCAGGCCTATAAATCTATGACATACTGATTGCATTATGCTCTTCTATACTGTTCAATATGTGATTACCCTACTTGATCAACCTGTTCCTGCTTAGTAATGAGAGCATTGTTCCATGTTACAATTTCTCTGGTGCTAAAGCCTTTTTAACAAAACCCACACCATCTCAGATCCCTATCACTTTGAGTTTAACACACTCCTCTGTTGTTCTGATGAATTCCTTTTCCAGAGGGTCTACACTGCAAAACAGCTTAGTGAAAAGCCTTTAGTTTAAAACATACCCCCTCCTGTCCCAGCATAAAGACAGCCGATTTAGATCTTTGAACCAAGAAACAACAGAGGATCAAAAACATTTCAAAAACACTTGAAGCCTGAAATAATGCCTATGTGAATATTGGAATCTTCAAACATCAACATATAACACAATGTATTTCTTGATTATTCCTGCACTAATATGTTTTCCATTAATTTATCTTCTTTATATTATGGTGAATGAAATTACCAGACCTACCCTTTGCTGAAATTTTATTACTACCAAGATGAGCATTTATTACTTAGATTAAGGTGAGGGTATTGGGACTTTTCTTTAATTAGTGAAGTGTTATTTCTCATGAGTAACAATGAGAACAAGCTGTGGAAAACCAATGTGCTAACTGATTACAGTAAGGCACTCCAAATGCTGAAAAACACTGTATTGGAAGAGAATAATTCCCTAGAGAAGTGCACTACAAGGTTAAATGCTTACATTTCACACTGTTTGAATTGTCTTGGTAGAACGAGATAGTTCACAAAGTACAGTGATAAGAAATTCAATATTAACTATATAATTTATCAAGATGGCTTTGAGAATCAAAGTCTTCATTCTGAGCAACACTGTGCAATGTACAACTTCCTTATCACATTATTAAATCACAAACTCTCTGCTATCCAAGCACGACATCCAGGTGGGGCTTGTGTCTGCCCTAACTCAATATAACCCACCATGAAATCAATGAGACTACTACTGTTGACCTGAACAGGAGTCAGACTAGAGTGAAAAAAACAGAGATAGAAAAAGTATTGATTAATCGAGCCCCTTTTCCCAGACAAACTATGATACTATAAAAAGAATCACAGTTGAAGGAGTTTCTTCTACTATACTGTGCTAGTCTGTATGTAATAATGAGTTTGCAGTGAGTCTTATGTTTATTCCAGTGAGAAAGAGATTTCAAGATAGTTTCTGTGTTTACTGGGTCACTAGGAAGATGCACCTGTTCACTGAAAAAAGTACCGTCTTTCATATAAATTATGGATGGTCTTTAGTCTGAGCAGTTTTTATATTTCCAGTTAAGCAGAAAAAAAAAATGCTTATTTTCTTTCAATTTGCAAGTCTCAAAACACAAACAATATCCTGATACAAGAGAGCATTAAAACACATGCTTAAATTCCTCCCTGTTCAGGAGACCATTCAAGCAGGGCTCAAGTATATTGCTATTATTCTGAATCAAAGATCTGAATCTGTTCTGCTTCCTGAACCATGTTCATTAGTGTCCAACACATGCTTTTTCAGTTAACCACAACTCGTGTTATCTCCTTTTAAAAAACACGTATATCATCCAGGCTACTTTCTTATCTATGTGGTTCTTGCCATCTGCTGGCAGATATTTTATGTTGTCAATTTAAAATGCACAAATTACTTGAAGTTAATGAAACATAATTAAGAAAAATGCTAAAAGCTGTATTAGTCACAATCTTATACTACATGCAAATATTGGGTATTAATGTTTTGTATCAAAAACTTTGAAAAATTTTATACTAAGATTAAAGCACTTCTTAAGTACAAACTTATCATAGTACATATTCTGTACTACCTAAGAAATAATTATAATATAGCATCTAATCACTAGAAAAATTCTCTAGGTTACAAACCTGTAGTCAATCAATTATTTCACCTCTAGATAAAATGTAGTTATTCAGCTCCACACAAGCAACATTGTACAAGAAGACGTACAACCCTTGCTGGGGTTCCCTTTTTATGCAATCATCTAGAAACCGAAAACTGTATAAAATTGTAATTCAAAATACCAAAGAATACCTAGACCTTCAGTATTACTAATCTTCATGTTTAAGTATGTGGATTTTAAGAATGATTGCATATATGATTAGGCTGTCTTTTCAGTAGCATTTAAAGGAGCACCCTTGCTAACATTTCACATTATTAGCATTTAAGAGTAATTCACATACCTGGTTTTAATGTTTTGATTGCCACGGGGGTGGTATTATTCCACCGTCCTTCCCATACCTCACCAAACTGACCAGATCCTAATTTTTTCACCAACTTCAGAGATTGTCGGTCTATCTCCCACTGATCGACAGTTTTATATGACAAATCAAAAGTAGCAGGAATTTGAACCTAGTAAAAGAAAATAAATAATACAATAATTGAGGCTTTTAATATTTTTTTCAACAGCTTATACAAATCATTTTTAACTATATCATGTAAAGTTGAAACAGAATATAAATAATGCTTCCTTAGAGTACACATGCATAATAAAATGAGCCAAGAACATAAAATACAACCCATATACTGGGTGCTTTTTTTAGAAATAAGAAATACGATAAAGAAAATATACTTTCATTAAAAGTAAAAATTAGAACTCATTCCTCTAAGCAAGCTTTTTGAACAGTGACTTATTGCTTGCCTGAATCTTGTGGTTTTGTCTCAGTAATTACTTATGGACAGCTAGAGTTATGAAGTTGGAGATTTCATATCCATATATATATAAAGGCATTCATAAATCCTGATTTGGCATGTTTTCTCCCCCAGCCACTCGATGATTTGTTAAAAATGGTGGGGTATTCTATTATTAACTTGTCAGCCTCAAGAATGAAACAGTTACAGTATCCAGAACTTACGGAAAACAAGCAGATCATCAACATTTTGAAATGGTAGAAGCAGATATGGAGTCAACATTTCCTGACAGATACTTAAATGAGCTTACAATAAATATTTTGCACAGTATAGTATCCGCTCTTACCTTTAGGCACGGCTTTCCGAGCAACACGCAGAGGCCATCACTGTTCTTGCTATAATAGTCAACCAAGTCATTCAGAGTTTTGAAAGTTTTCCTTCTGCTTAGAAAAAAGCCTCCTTCATCCAGCTTTCTGATCCTGTAGTGCTTCACAGAGGCACCATCAAAAACTAAAAATATTTAAATAGATTAAATTTCTAGGAATTATTGCAGCGGTACAACATAATTAATGACCAAGCCATCATAAGGCTCCTAAATATATTTTTGAGGACTTTAAAATAAATTATTTTAGTTTTGAATAGAGCAACTATAAAAAGCCTCTTTCAAGCCAAAGCCCATTGTTCAGATATCTTAATACTGAGTCTATCAGTCTTCAGCCATTCAGGTTTGGAGATTCTTGTTTGCACCATAAGAACCGAAGTAGAAGTACATAAATACTTCTCGTGTTTACCATCTCTGAAGACAACAAAACTAGAAGCATCTTATTCACAGTAATCATTTAATCAGTTTTTAATATTTCCTTTATCAATGTCAACATTTCAAATAGCAGCTGCTGGGCTGGTAGGTATTTTAAAGGAAAAAGATATACTCTTCACATGGCCATAATTCCCTGAAAAGCACTCACATCTTCCCAGGGTTTTTTTGAGTTTTGTGTGTGTTTGGAATACGTAAAAATCAGGTGAATAATGCTCTGGCTTTTGTACCATTTGTACCATTAATAAATAAAATAAAATAAAAATTTTTAAGTAGTTTATTTAATCTTTGTCTCATCCTTTTTAAATTTTTTGTGTATGTTCTATAACATACACAATCTATCAGTACAGTAGTACATGTATAAAATTTACCAAAAAAAATAAATAAAGGTATATGTAGAGTGAATGCTCAAAAATCTTTTTGGGCTCAGAATCACCACAGTGGGCAGTTCAGAGGAGCTGAAAAGATATTTATTTACTTACGTGGGTGTCTTTTAGCAAGACACACCATTAGTTGGACATCACTGTCCATTTTCACTGGGCAAATGAGAGTTAACATTGCATACAGAAGGGTAACTGATTTAGCTTCTAACAATGCCACAGTTGTTAGCTCTAACATTAACAGTGTTCCACAATAAGCCCCACTGGTAATGAGGAATCCTGATCATATAAAGCATAACTTAAGAAGGAAGATGTTTAAGTAGTAGGACAAATTTGCTGTGTCTTAAACAGAAGATACATGCATCACTGCACAGAGATTTACTGATCCTAGGAATTTCAGAGCTCGTTGAATGCTACCAAGCTGTAAGATTAAGTGATAGACCAGGATTTGAAAGTGTGGACAGATATTTTTGCTGTCTGTTAGAACTGTGGGTGTGGGTTCAAGGTGAAGGGATGCAGCCCGCCCAGTTAGGCTTGGGGCCAGTGAGATTGTGAATTAAGCCAAACAGGAGAATGGGATCATTTAACAAGTCTGAGGATTAGCCAGAAGGAGAAACACTGGAGCAGAACTAAATATGAAGCACCACATTTTGGAAAAAAACCAAGAAGCAATAGCTAAAAGAAAAAATTGCTATTGCTCTCCTCTGGATTTACTATAGTTGATATATCCCTTATACTGTAACACTGCGTGGATTTTGGCAAACACTTTGGTTATAATAGAAGAATGCTAAGTTGCATATTGTATGTAGAAAATTATTGGTTGCATGCAATTAACAAAGCTCATATAATTTCTCTCACTATTTAAGTGATCAAGTTAAAAAGGAAAATCTCTTCTTCCTTAAGAACTGTCGTGGATAATCAAATATGTTTTGCGTTGTACTGTGCGATTGTCATCCCAGACCACCAGAGGGCAGAGAGGAGCTGTTCAAAATACTCCGCCCCAGGCAGTATTTTTAGGGACCTGAGAATTTCCAATCATGAGGACCGGCAATAAGAATATTTGTAAATAAAATCCAGATGATAAAGATAAATACATCACACTTTTAAATTAACACCCATAAGTAGTATTTATAATTATAAAATACATGCATATTTTTGTGATGTATCATTTGGAAATTGGGCTGAAGCAAAATGAAGTAAAGAGTAATTAGGTAACAAAAGATTGAAAATTTGCTGACTTTTCCCAAGTTCACAGGAAAATTGATCTGGACAAACTATTAAGTCTTTATGATGCATTGAGTAAAAGGACAACAGGATGACTGTTAATTCAGTCTCAGTTGTACATCACAAGTAATAGTAGTTTGACTACCTGGTTTGTTTATTAGAAGTATTATAACTATTACTTGTGAAGCACCTAACATTAATAATGGAAGAGCTGTTTTGAAGGATGTGCTCTAATTTCTTAAATGAGCCTTCTATGAAGCCTTATAATTGACAGCATCTAGGTCAGGTGGTGATGTGTGTGGAGAAGCTGGAGAAAATTTCTGCACTGATACCATCTCTTCTTGTGATAAGTAGCTGAGATTAGTGCAATATTTGACAGGAGGTTGTTTACTTGTATCCCAGGGCTGAGTCTGGCTGTACAACTCCTGCACCACACACTTGCAGCTCTGTGACATGATGTGGCTCCTCTGCCAAGATGATACAGAGCACATATCACCCAGGGAAGAGCTAGCCATAACCCCTTCCAGTCATCCCTACATCCATATCAGACTGCTTATCAGGATAGGATTATGACTTCAGCCTCACACAGCTTGACAGTAGCTGGGTTTGAAGACTGTTTTTTAATTCAACTTGCCCTTTGCAGAAGAATCACAGTTCCCCATTAGATTTCTACATGGTTTCAGTTTAACAGAAGGATTCTCCTCTCCCTGCAATCCATCTGCATATGATTTGACTAAGCAGAAGTAGATTTTGCCACCTGAAGAAAGAGAATAAAATAACCTACTACTCTTTTTTCATGGCAGAAAAACATATGGTGGCATCCACAGAATCAACATCTTCACCAAATGAATCGTGGAGACACTAAGACACCACTATACCGCCAGCAACGCTGTGTCCCCACATCACTCCTGTCAGCAGTGCTCCCCTAGCACTGGCCATGCAGCACTGCCAGCACGAGCTTTGCTCAGTCTCCATGCCCAGGGTGGATATGGGAGGAGACTGACCCCTGAGATCACCCTCATCAGCACAGACCAAGTGCAGAGGCAGATCCAATATCATTCTCTTACTGTGGACATGATTTTGCCAGTCCTATGAGTCTGCTTCTTTAAACAATTACCTATTTTTTCTTATGCTGAAACCCAGTCTGGCTTAGAGGAAACCACACAATATTTTTTAGGAGCATGGAAAAAAAAAAATTGAAGAAAACACAAACCATTTACATTGTTATTTAATGCAATAAGTCTTTTAGATTCCATTATTCAGTGACGGGCTAAGTAAAGAGCTTCCTGCTATCATTGGCAATGACACTCAATTAAGCTGAGCACATCTAAATTATGGCTTTTAATTAAAAAGAGGCAATGTCTAAGATGCCACCAACGTGTTTAAAATTTAATACATTTCACACCAGATGCTGGAGTCATCAACATAAAAATCTGTTGACAACATGTGCATTTTTAAAATGGGAAAACCTATTTTTAAAATGTCAAACACTTTAATTTATAGCAACACATCTCAGTGGCCTATCTGGTTTGATGAGCTTTCCATTTAACCATTCACAGATGAGAAAAGCCTTTCTGAATGTGAATTTTTATTTTTAATTTAAATAGTTACTTATTATCTAAATCTTACAAATTCAGAGTTTTCCCAAGTTAGAGATGAAAAGTACCATTTTCATGAAAGGTAGGGTTTGTTTGGGTTTTTTTTCCTAAGGAGATCATTTGTTTCCCTAATTAACATCAAGTCTTTTAAACATTGCCCATATGAGTATGAAATCAAGCATGAAAGTCATAAAGTCAGTTTATGAGTTCTTGAGTAAAAATCTCTCTTCCCTTTCAATTTCTCTTATTTTTTTTACCTTTATTGCACCTAAATATTAGGCTGGATAGAGAATTAAAACATTTTCTTAAAGACCTTAATTCTGAAAGCCAGGTTATCACTCTTCTAGCCATTATAATCTACTCTGAAATGAAACCAAAACAGCAAACCAACCAGACCTACAGAGGATGGGACTTTGAGAGTCTACTCTTTCTGTACTGAAAAAACTGGAAACAGAAATTAGGGCATATTCCAAAATACCAGGTTTTGACTTCTCCCCTGTCAGTGTATCAGCTACCATGGAGACAGAAGCTATCCTTCTGCTTCAACTTCAGTGTCTCATAATTCCTTCTGATGGCACAAGATGCAGGAAAACTGTCTTCTCCATAGCACCTGGTGAACTAAACAACCTTCTTTCCAATTAATACTTTCCACAACACAAACCTCTTCATCATTTGCTTTAGAATGTAAGAAAGAAATCCACACTGATGGTTTCATATCTTGCTGCTATCAGTCATCATCAAATCTCCTGTTCCCGAATAAGCTTATACAGAAACCAGAAAAATTACTACCACAGGCTTTTATAATTTAATCAAATATACTAAATCAGATAGAATAAACTTTCTATCCAAAATTTCTGTGGAAGAAACTAAACAGCAGCATCAAAAGATAATCTCATCATACCAAAAATGCTGGCCTAATATTTATTTTCATTGTCTTGGATTTTTCTCTGGAGTATCTCATAGTTTAACTAAAGTACTGCTGCCTTCCTGTTAGAGAAGTGGTTAGGATGCAGGATAAATAATTAAGATTTTGAACCTTTCCTAGTTGCCTGTAGTTGGAGAATAATAAAAAGAAATTGCATTTCCACTCCTAGATGCACAAACAGATGATTTTTCATTGATTTTTAGTAAGATGTCATATATTCAAATGCCAGCATTAAAAAGATAATACAGACCTATTTGTCCTTCCCTGCATAACACCACACTGTTATTGGTCTAGCCCAGCCCTTGGATGAAATCAGTTCACTGATTTCAAGAAAACTTGAAGGAAACTGAAACCACATAACACATCAATAAGTTGGCACACAAAGAGAAAGCATTTTGCAAGGTCTTTGGCTATAATACAGTGCTTGGATGAAAGTGTGCATGCACAGGAGTCAGTTCTGTCACAGCTGAGGAGCAGTCTGATTCCTCATTGATGGTAGTCTTCCTTTCAGCACTTTATGTCAAGAACCAACTTCCTTGAGGGTAAACTGAAAACTATGGAGTGAACTCTCCCAGAACTGTAAATATCACATTTATTTCATAAAACTCCCTGTCTTTCAGTCCACATTTCTTTGTCTTGGCAATGAAAAGCAATCCTTCCGTTACCACAAGATATTGCAGGTATATCCCCTTTCCTTATAAGTGGGAAAGAGAAAGCAAGAATGTGTCAAAAGTTCATTAAGCTGTGTTTCTGTGTAATGTTCAGAACATTTGAATGACACAAGTATCCAGGCAAAAGAGGAGTCATTATGAAATAATCTGGTTATGCACAGGGTGCCTCTTATTTTACTGACATAATTCTGCATGTGACTACTTATGGTTTATTCACAAACATCAAGAGTCTTTGCTGGTGTCTGAAATTAATATAGGTAGAGCACATTAGGTAGCTTGGATGTAGATCCTCATTGTCTCAGGGACAACACTATGCTCTTGGACTCATAGTTGTATGCCAAGTTTGATGGAAAATTTTCACAGAAAACAACTAATGAACAACCACATTTACTACTTAAAATGGCAAATATCTACAGCATGAAAAAAAATTATGTACTTATATGCGAGTGAGTAAAATTATTAACAAGTAAATGTCCTTATTAGACAATCTCTCAGATTCAAATAAAGGACTTAAATAAATTTCAAAATGCATCATCGTAAATCTAATTTTTTACTGATATTTCCAACACATTTTTCAATGAAACTTGACTGATTCCAAAGTACAGCTTTGAAGATCTATGATTTTACCCCTGAAGACAAATAAATATGAACCTAAGTGTGAGCTCTAGGAGAAATCTCTTTTTCTTAAACTGCAGATATCTGCCACATGCTTTTATTTTTATTTTGTGTGCTAATCAGAACAGTAGGGTACAACTGCAAGGTATATTTTTGTGCTTTGATTGTGAAAATACTATCTATTTTAAGGTATCTGGAACACTGGAAGTACTAAGCATAAAAAAGTTAATTTCTGTTCTGAGCATATTGATAAACAAAGTCTATAAAATATAAACTCAAATGACTCTTGCCAAGTTTTCTTTAAATATCTCCCAGGAAATAAATATTGTTACAAACTTAATTTCATTTTCATACCCACAGTTTATGGTTCTCAAAAATGAAAAAGCCCAGATCACCAGAGAAATTTTTAAAACATTGCTTTAGATGAAAAGCTAGGATATACCTGAGAGTGAGTATTCCCCTTTTAGACTTTCACTTTCTCGGATTAGGAAGGCTCCTGCCTGGTTTCCAGGGTATGACAGTTGTCTCTCAGCATCTGCTCGTTTGATTGGGCCAAAGAACCATCTGAACAAATAAAAACGATTAATTTTACCATTCAGTGAAACATACCAGGAAGACAGTTTAGCTTTTATAAACATGCTGTACATTTACTATGAGATAATCTGTGCTCTGCCAATTAAATATCAATGGGGGGGGGAACAGTCAGAACTATACAACAAATTATTGCTAGAAAATATTGCTTACACATTTGAGTGAAATCTGGATTTTACTGCTAATAGAAGGTCTTACTGATTTCAAGGAAAAAAGTATTCAGAAGTAACAAACTGGTTTTGTCCCAGAAAAAAATCACCAAGAAATTTTGCCAAGGCTGCAGTAGCAGAAATTGATACCAAGTCCATTGATGGCACTTGAACTCTGAAGAGGTGCAGGTATGTGCTAACATTCTGACATCTTAAAAGCCAAAAGATCTCTGAAACTGCAAAGGGCTCTCAGGTTCCAAGGTGTAAATCACCCTGCAGCCTTTCCTATTCCACTGCTACAAATAAGTTACTGGTAATTTTTCAGCTCTACTGCTGTGTGACAAACAAAACCAATATGTCCCTCACATCACTGCAAACATCTCAACATCCATGTTTTGTGAAAATCTCCTCCTATGTATGCCTTTTAAAACATATTTTTCCTCTCTCACTAAAACCTGTAGTTCACAAAGGCTTGTTCAAGCAATAGTTTTAGTTTCCTCCTCTGAAGGTAGCTCTTTTGCTGTTTTGCACTGAGTTTAAATTAAATGTAAATAAGACAGAGATGAGTCAGCATTTTCAACTGAGAAGTCATTCAGCTTCCTTTCAAAGCTTTTTCCAAGATTAGCTCCACCCCTTATTTGAAGTAAATGGTGATAAATAGGTATCATAGCTAAACCTATTACGCAAACTTTAAATATAAATCAGTGTATCACACCACAAGTAAGTTGCCTATTCAGTTAACTACTTGCTTTGTCAATTACTGTGAAAAGTACTGAAGGAGTCATCAACAGACTACTTTAGTACCTGCAAGGCTTGTAATCATCAAGAGGAATGGTGGAAATAAATGAGAACATTAGGTGACACCTTGGCTGAGCAAGCATGAGAACTGATAAATGGTTTTGTATTAATAAAGAGGAAATAAGAAGAGGGAAATACAGATGGCACTAACCCACACTGAATATGCTTTGTTAATAAAAGAAAATGAAAGACAGATATTCCCGACCTTATTCCTATCCTCTGACTTTAAGATGATTTGGACATATTTGGCAGGAAAGTAATCTCATTAGAAAGCTGGAATTTGTTAGTGGTAATTTCAATTAGTCAAATGTGTTCATTAATTTAACCAATTAATTTAATTAATTCATTATTTAGACTGTAGAAAACTAAGTAATCAATAAATATTCAAATCCTTAACTGAGGTTCTTGTCAAAGGAATAAGAGGACAAGTTCAGCTCTATCCCAGTCCTAAAGAAAACCTGCCTACCCTAAAAGTTGAATTAGAATCTCTGAAATTTCTAAATACACCTGCTCTGGGAGTAACAGCTGAAAACTAACTAACTATATGATCTGAAAAAAAAAAACAAACTAATATTTTTCTCCTTGAACTGTAAGATATCACTTAGTAGTGTTCCAAGTGACTGATTCTCATAAGAATGTATAAGAAGAGGTGTTTAATTTGGGGGGGGTTCATGGGCTAAGAAGAGAACATCTTTTCAAAAGAATTTAATTTTGTACCAAACCCAAAAGACCTTCCAATCCATTATTAGCAAAGTTGAATTTTAGGGACAGTCGAAATATAGTCTTTACATGACTCAACATTTGAACATACACTGTTAGTAACTGAAATTACCAGTGCTGAAAACATGAGCAAAAATACAGTGTATGCAATAAGGGGAAATTATTGGTTTATTTGGGAAATACAAATTAAAATAGTATTATGCTGTGTATGTAAAGTCATGTCTATGATATAGATCATGATTTTGGAAAGCAACACATAAGTATATCGTATTTAGGCACAAGTATCTGTTTCTTTGACTTCAAAACCTTTCAAATTAGATGCTTATTTTTACTTGGTTGGAAAAACTTCATTAAATCAATATGAAATTACCATTAAAGTTTATATGGAGGATATATAATATGTAGGTTCTGACTCCAGATAAATTAGCAGTTTAAAAAGATCCTAACTTGCCAAATGAGATAATTAGAGCAACAGTACTTGAGAAGGTAAGTGTAACTGAAGTAGTTATTATGGAGAGTGAAAAGTGGACACATATTGTATATTACCTCATTTGCCTGACTTTATACGATCTGATTAAAATGTTTCAGAAAAATATAGGGAAAATTACTTTTAATAGCACTTGAATATCTGATTCTTAGTTCAAAGTCATTGAAATAAGTTAACAATAATAATAGTAAAGTACCATGTTACCTTACACTCACTCTTGCCTATGCGTTCAGTCCATTTTGAATTAAAATGGAGTTGTGAGTTCAACAGAAGTTGATAGTGTTACCTGGCTCCTTCACCACCTTTGCTCAGAAGCCCTCTGTCTGCCAGGGTGCAATGCACTGCTGATCTCCATCTACATGTCAAAGCCACATTTAACTGCCTCTGCTTTTTGTCTCCCTGAGCTTTGCTACATAAAAATCCACTAAAATAAAAATAGTCACTTCTACTTTTGCACTTTTTTTCTTATAGTAGGAAGATATGGCAGAAGTTTTTACATTGGAAAGTAGAAGAGCGGAAGAGTAATATGGGTCAAGGGCTATCACATGCCACAAAGCCACTGACTTACTAAAGCCAATCACTAAAGCAAAGAAAGAGGTGGAGGCAAAGTTCTCCAATGCTATACCACTGGTACTCTTTCCAGTGCACAGCAACATGCCTATAAGAGGACAAATGTCTCACTGGAAAAACCAAAACCCACAAATATGCTCATCCAAAAATAAGAGCATGCAAAATGAGTTTTCTTCCCTCTGTTCCTTCTCATTAATTCAACATCCTCTTCTGATCAAATCAGTGCAATACACTCTTTGAGGTAGAGACCGAAGATTTAACAGATCTCAACTAATTTGGGAACTACAGGCTCTTTTTCAATCCTGAAATTAACTCTATCCAACACTCAAACCCAAAAAAAGCATTCCCCATCATGCTCCAGATGAAAAAGCTCTCTGGGGAAATATCTTTTGGCAGCTTGCCATTCCTTGGACAGTCATTTTGCAGACCCCTCACCTCCCTACACTGGAGCTCTCTGCTTGGTATCTCCTAAATCCCTAAAATGCTAAATCCTGACTCTAAAATAAGGTGTTTGCTGAGCCTTAGACAAAGCAGGGCCCAGTCATGGGCCTGACAAAATACTTCTTGAGACACAAGTCTTTCCTAGGGTAGCCTCTTTGCAGTTGTACTTCAACAAACACTCTAAATTCATGATTAAGGACTCTGCGTGCATCCCCTTTTGGGTTGTGGGTAAGATCCTCATGACCAAGCTAAACACCAGCTCTGAAGTAACAGCTACAATCTTTGACTTCCTTGGAAATTCAGCAGATCTCTCACTGCTCTTTTGTTGTCTACACTGAAGATGAACAGAGAAAATGATGTAGAAGTTCTGACTGTTTCACCCATTTCCATTAGGGCTCACCAGAGCACAGCTTCCCATTTTATCCTCTACCATTATTTAGATTTAATATGTAGAGGAATAAAATCAGAATCAACTCCACAATGTCATATCTGAAGTCACTGAATTTGCTTTAATAACTAGCTGTAAATGGGATAAGAGGGGATTATTTCAGTTTCTCATGCAAGCTGCAGGACACTGGAGGTAAGACAAGGCTAGAAGCAGAGGTCTCTGACATACTCTTAATTTGGTGAATGTTCAGTTAAAAGGGAAAATCCTGAGGGCTGAGTCAGCAGTAAGGTACAGCCACATATAGAAGTCATGATCATTACAATAGGAATGAAGAGGGAGGAAATGGGAGGAAAAAATGCTGAGAAACAGCTTGGAGGCATAACAGAATAAATAGCAGAAAATCAGTCACATGAAATTTATTTTCAAAAATGACTGAAGATGTTAAATTAGACAGCATGATCCTATCCCTGGATCAGCATTTTGTGGCATTACGGGCATCTTGCGTCTCATTTTTCATAAGTGCTTTCAACTGGGATTTACGTTCTCATGTTAGGGTACATCTCATGAGACTGCTAAATGTCAGCAGCTGAGAAGGTTTGCTGAGTTTCCTGTGGTTCTCAACCAGAAGTCTCAATTATAGAACAAATGTCAATAACAAACAGGTTAGCTGGCCCTCCAGAAGATTAACTGGAGTGTGTTAACTGTGTCTGTAGTACTAGGCTGAGGAGAAGAAGAGGTTTCTTAGACTGAGAAGAGCAAAGAGACTGTAATTAGAGCAAAAGACTTGGGTGAGAACAAAAAAAAAATGTTATATATACTGAAACAACCTATATCCCACTTTCTTCTGGAATGCAAAAAGCTTGTGTAATAGTTAAAACAAATAAAGAAAAGCTACAGTAGTACATGAAGCTTACATTTTAAATGCCTCAAAATCTACTGTCATAGAAAGCTGCAACTGCAAACTCAAGAACTCCAAAGTTAGGAGATGACAATATTAATATTGTTTTCAAGGCATCCACTCAGCCTTTTTCAGGAAAATCCAGGTTGATACTATCTTTAATTACATGGTCATATCCAGTGCTCCCTACAGTGTTAATACGAATGCCGTTCAATCAATAGCTGCCCTCTATTTAGTTTCGTCATTGTGTAGATAGAGTTTATTTACTGTACATTGTTTAGCCTCCGGTCTTAATGCCAGTTACAAAATTACATGAATGGTTTATTTCCTAACATCCTCTATTATAATGTTCATGTCTGTAATATCCCAATGCTTTACAAACATTTGTTACATTCTTTTTGTGGCACTTCTGATTATAAATTTTTTCTGCAGTGGAGAAACAGCCCAGACAATAAGAAACTATTACAAACATTTTCCACTAATTTTGAATGTCCAGCTTGAAAAGTTCAGGGCCTATCTTTC